CCCGAAAATCAAACCCGCGACCCCCGAAATCCCCTCAGGGATACCAAAAATTTGCTCAGAACCCCGAAAATCAAACCCGCGACCCCAAAAATCCCCCTCGGGACTCTCAGAATCTCCTCAGGGACCCCGAAATCCCCCCAGAACCTTCAAAAATCCCCTCAGGGACCCCAAAAATCCCCTCAGGACCCCCAAAATCAACCGTAGGACCCCAAAAACTCCACTTGGGACCCCAAAAACCCTTCAAGGACCCCTCCAATCTCCTCACAGACCTTACAGGAGGATCTGAGACTCCCAAAATCCCCCCATGGGACCCAAAAATTCACTCGGGACCCCCAAAATCCCCCTCGGGAGCCCCAAAAATCTCCATGAGACCCCTAAAATCCCACCCGAGACCCCCAAAACCCATCAGGGATCCACCATATCTCCTCACAGACCCTTCAGGAGGATTCAAGACCTCCAAAACTTCTCCAGGGACCCCCAAAAGCCCCTCAGGACCCCTGAAATCAACACCAGAACCCCCAAAATCCCCCCTGGGACCCCAAAAACTCCACTCAGGACCCCCGAAATCCCCTCAGGGACCCCCAAAATCCCCTCAGGGACCCCCAAAATCCCCTCAGGAAACAGGAGGTGGCCCCTGGGTCACCTGGCCCAAAGTTTTCCTCAGCCCTTCAAAGGGACAGGAGGCAGAACTGTCACAATGTAAGGACTTGGTGCCATTCATGGTTCAAATCCTGAAATCAGAAGTTCTGAAGGGTTTTTCCTTGTTGTTGAATCCAATTTTAAACAATTCTAATTCTTAAAAAAAAAAGAAAGCAGCAGATTTCTTTGATGCTTCTTAAATTGTTTCCTTTAATAGGAAGTGCTGCTTTACTCTAACTTGTGCTTCAGAAACAAACGTTTGCCTTCCAAAAATATACAGTGTACACATCCTCTGTAGCTATAGATACAAACATTTACAAAGAAACAAGCAGGCTGGAGTGGAGAAAAAAAAAATAAAATAAATCACAGAAGGCCTTCCCAGAGCCAGAGCAGCCGGGCTCACCCTGATGTAAACAGCACCGGGCTGCTGCAAAAACATCAGAAAAAGTTCCATACCC